ACTGGTGAAACCTGGGTCAGATTTAATAAATGCAATTATATTAGTCTTGTAATAAAAAAATAAGGATCCAACATCAAACCCCAACCCACTTATATTTTTGGTCCAAATACACTATTGTAACCAATCAAATAAAATATGATTTGTGTAACACCATAAAGAGGACTTGTAACACCACCCCTTTAAGCTTTGGGTTCTGATACCAAAAGTTGTGTTTCAATGTATTTGTGCTCTGATCTCTACAGTCTCTTGTACTGTAAAAGATGGTATTTCTTAGAGAAATCTCCAGTTGCAGATTTCTAGACTGACTAAGCATTCTCTGTTCCCAAAAATCAAAACCATCTTTTTAGTTGTTTCATCATCCTGTTATCAGAAATTCAAAGCAATGACTTTCAATAACCTTTAAAGTATGTTAAAAACAGTTTTCAGAATTGCGGACCATGTTTGAAATACTTCATTTTCTATGTACCAAATCCTACACTGAGCCCCAATGGTGCAGGGGTTAGAATGCAGTATTGCAGGCAAACTATGCCCACAGCCAGGAGTTCGATCCTGACAGAGGTCAAGGTTGACTCAGCCTTTCATCCTTCCAAGGTTGGTAAAATGAGGACCCAGATTGTTTAGGGAAAAATGTTGACATTGTAAACCGCCCAGAGATGCTATAAAGCACTATGGGGCATTATATAAGTCTAAGTGCTATTGCTATTGCTATTGCTACATCATCACAGGCATTCAATTCAAAAGTTTATAAAGGCTTCATACCTGCTTTTTACTAATAGAATTAAATCTGGCAAACCAGACAGATGGGTTTCTCAGTGAATATCTGAAATGTCCTGAAAAATTTCATATTGGCTATGAACTAACATGAGAATGATGAACTTAAGGCAGTTTTTCCTGGAATATATTTTCGTAGAAAGTACCTTTCAATATATATTTTAAGTAGCTTATTCCTAAATAAATATGAAATAGGACATTGTATGCTTATACTAATTTGCCTTAAGATGCAGAACATTTTACTTTAAGATGATAAATCTTAAGATTGGTTTTGTTTTAAATACAATATTCTACAATTGGACAACACACCCTTTCAAATATTTTATGTTTATCTTTGAAGATACAGAATAGATCTGAGCTGCAAAATTCCAGATGTTTACCATATGCTAGCAAAGATTTAGTGCTTTCTATATCTCTTTGCTGTTATCTAATAGACAGCTGGAGTTTTACAATCCAGATCTAGAATATCTAGAAAAAATGATGACATTGTACAGACTGAAAATAGGACATTTGCCTGCAATTTCTGCACAGTGATATTTAGCCCAATGATACATTATGGCATCAGCTTGTCATTCATTCATCTCTTCATTCCCTATTAGGGAGTCCTAATAGGTTTAGTTGCTACCCACTCACATTCCATGATTTTCTGGTTGAACGTATTTCATTTTAAAAAAACATTCTAACCTTAAAATGAAATCGGTTTGCTGTTTGGTATTCTGCGGTGAGGCGAACCTTTTCAATATCACTTCCAAACAGGGATGGAGAAGGTAGTCTTACTAGAGTAGCTTCAAATCCTAAGAAGGGACGGAAGGAAGAAAGGCTGTTACTTCCAGTATTGACAATAACAGTAGTAATCTGTGGTCTACTAAGTATTCCTCTTCCAGGACAAAGGAAAGTAAAAGAATAGGGCATGCAGTTTACTGATAAACCGTTCTGTCCACTTTGACCCATAGATTAAATCTGTGTTCAACATATCTGAAGCATTTTTCAAACCAGCTTCTTTTTTTTTACGTAACAATCAAATAAAGGAAGTTGAATAGGGTGAACCTCTATGACAAAATCAGCCAATGAATTATAGAGCAAAACAGGCTTTGAACCTGTCTCTGTATTATGCAGCCCTTTTAGTTGATTCATTTCATTTTGGAAGCCTCTACACTGCCTTTCTCCATTTTTTTTGCTTAATCTGTAGGGTTCTAAAAAACATTGGATCTGTACATGAAGCAAAAGGAAGATCTTCTTAAGTCCTGGAAACATTCTCAGATACTTTCCTAGTTCTGTTACAACTTGTGGATTTTCAGATCCATATGAATCATTAATATCCCATTTTTATGGCGCTCAATTAACAATTAGTTTTATTTATTTCTTTATGGTAGTCATAGTAAACAAACAATGCATAATAAAATACTGGGAAAATAATTTATTTTTGATATCTATTCATTTTATATTTAGAAGTGACAAAAATAGTAGAAAACAAATCCTCAATTTTAACTCTACCTCCTAGCTAAAATAACTACAAACCCCAACTTCTTATTAACTAGCAAAAGGTTTTTAACAAACATGCTAACTTAGCCTCCTAACTCAGAAAGTTTAAGAATTTAGGAATGGCTGTTTCTCTTTCCCATATTAATTGGTGCAGACATGAAAAAGATACTTGATCTATCCAATTTTAAGATTAATAGTAAGAAAGAGATTAAGCATTAAGTTTACCCATATGCTGAAAATATTTTTATATTACATTTTATATTCATTGCCTTATTTTCATGATCTGGGCATGTTTTGTGCCTGTAAATATTTAATCAGTCTGGAGATTAGGCTTCTTTTGCTTACCTGAATTTGTATCTGATATGCTTCCTTGAACTTGGTACCCATGGTTTTTTGAAAAGTAGCACCAAGGTACATGTGTTTCATTCTGAGGATCCCAGCAACAGCCACGGAGTACACACAGATCCTGTATCATCAGCAGTAAAAGGAAATCAGAAGTGACCATCAAAATAAACTCCATATTAATTTTTGGACAATAGCATGTATGTAATCATTAATGACAAGCAAGCTGCACAGTTTGAAATCAACTATCACTGACTTTTTAAGTGGATTTATAGTTTTCATATATTGGATTTATTTTGCAAACATATTTATACTTATAGGTGGTCCAAATTACCAGTAAGAGTTGGTTTTCAGACTTACAAACATTCAAGCAACTGTTACATAAGCAATAGTAGCTAACCTATCTGTTATCAGTAAAAAGAACTTCCTTTCCTACTTAGGGTGTGGAAAAATGACTCGGAAAGTCTCTGTCTTAATATACTTTGGGATTAATTCTAAATTTAAAATTAATTCACTTCGACCTTTTACACACGACGATGAGAAGGTTTGAATTATGTAGAAAATTTCCCTTGAGACTCTTGACCCCTTTTTTTATGTAAGTCAAGT